ACTGTAAATGAATGTAACAGTGTTACAACAATATCTTTTCTGCTCTTTCCAGTCTTCGCACCGTTGAGGGTCATAATAGCTTACCTGGTTTGTCGCGTTTAAACACCACTGTCCAAATTCATGCAAACCTGCCTTCAAATATTCTCCATTGCTGAATGAGCAGCACTCACGTCGAAGCAATAAGCTGCCAGACCAAACGTGAAGTTTTAATTCTAGTAGTGAGTTCTTGCAGGACTAAAACACATCTAGTTTAAGTATAAGATGTTTCTTGTTGTGACTGGACTTTATACTGCTTTACCTATTAAAGAGCTGAACATTTATGTATGAGAACACCTGACAAAAGATTTTTCTTTTGATCACAGATGGGACCTGAAGATCATCAATATTTAGTGGCAAACAGAGTAACCTTAACCATGAAAGTAGAACTCCAGAAAGGTAGGGTGAACATCCATAATCTTACATAGTTCTCGGACATAATGCCCAAAAAATTATCGAACTTATTAATGATGCTTTGCCAGTGAATATTTGATGCTTGTTGTTTTGCAATTATGGTTGAGTGAATATACTTAGATGATCCTCTCATCGTTCTTGCTCTGGCTGATCTTGGTGTCTGTGCTTGATTATATAAAGAAAATAGCCATGAATAAAAGATATGTTTTTTTTGTCATGTTATAACTAATTTATAACTGAAATTTTTACCTGAATGCACAGATTTAGGAGTGGACTGATCTCTTTCTTTAAACTGTCACGGATCATTCCATATATTTTCTCTACATATGCAGTTAGATGTTGCTTAAATAGTAGGGCTGGATATTTAGCTTCCACCTTTGGTAGCTCATTTGCTTTTCCCGCCATTCCACTGTATCCACTTGACATTCCCATGACAATCGAAGATGAACAGAACCCCTGACGTTATATATTTAAGAGTTACTGTTTTTCTCATTGACTTGATGTACTAAAAGTTCACTTCTTAAAACTTACTTGTGGCTTTCTGCCAAACAAGCTTGCTGAAGAGGCTTGGTTACGATATTTAGCTGCGTTACTTGAATTGCTACCCTTGAGTTTGCTTTGCAGGAAGAACAGAAGGGTAGAAGTTGCTGAGAGCCAGTATGCCAGATCACAGATTTTGTCTTGGCTCTTGCAGGAAAAATTCAGAAAATTTGAATGTCAAATTCAGTCCATTGGAGGCCTTTGATATATTAATGTAATCAAATTGTTGGACTACCTCTACTGAGGATCGTATTGTGTGGATAATCCTATCAAATATATTTGTCTTTTCTGCTTCGAAGGATCTCCAATGAAGTAGTGCTTTGTACACAATACAGGCAGCAACTGACTTGTTCTTGTCGAATCGTTTCTCTTCCATGAGGCATTTTATCAATACATCATGATTTTCCAGCTGATATGGTGAAAAATATGAGAAAATTGTATTTCTAAACGAAAAAAAAAGAATTTATCTAGAAAGTTTCAGTCATTGTCCATCCCCCAATAGATAGGTTTTTTTAGCTCCAAACCTGCCGTCTGTCTGTTAGGGACCTGTGCTTTGGTACGATGGAGACAATATGTTCTGACTCCTGAAAAAATAGTTCATTCGGGATTTAGATATAACACATATACCATATTACATGAGGTCTATTATGGAGGAAAATATAACTAAGAAAGTTCATGCTACTTTTGTTGGTTTGAGCTCTCCACCCATTGGATGTACATTCTCAAAACTCTGCACCGCTCACAGGAAACAAATAATAAACAACCTATTTACTTGACCAGAAAATAACTTGCAACATGCTAGAAAGTACTGAACCTTTGCTGGTGGCAGTATCTTTTCAGGGGGTGCCATCTTCTCAGCAGCGGCCACCTTGTTGCGGAGTATTTCATTCTCCA